AACTACCGAGCAGCGGCCGGTGGAGGCAGCAGCGGGTGGGGTTTTTTCGGCACCTGTATGGGTGCTTTTTTTCATATTGGCCTGTAGGGATGTTTTTGGCCGAAACGTTTCAGCCAATGAAATTTCGGTGCATCCCTAATCTGCATGCCAAGGTGCTTGATTTTATACACCTGTGGCCATGGAGGTGATTGGAACACCTGAATCCAATGATTTGGAGAGGTGTCCCAGTACTTTTGGCAAGTGTGTGTGTACAGTTTATTAGTATAGTGTATTATCTCCAGCAAGTTCTATTTTTGTGGTACAGTCTGAATGTACTGCATGTATTTCTAATAACCCTCATTAAACAGCACAGCAGTCCTTTTGATGGTAGGTGAAACACTTTTGAAACAGTTTGTCTATTGCTTCCCACAGTAGTGTTACATGTTAACATACATGAAGTTTTCTGCACTCTAGTAGTCAGTTTTTAGGCAAAGCATTAAGGCTCCCAATGTACAGAAGATGATTGCACAGTGCATTTTGTACATGAATACTGTATATGCAATATTTACTGACACAGTTGTTAATATTCATGCAGGAATTTATCTCGTATTTCACATAGCATCCTTGCGTTTTGTCTCTTGCGTCAATGCCATTATGCACTATGGAAACTGCTTTATGCATTGTAGGAATGTTTATCAAAACTTAGTTACAGTACTTACTGCATTTAATCAGTTGACCTGCAGAAGGGTTTACCTTCCTAATGACCAGGGCATTTTTTTGCTATTCAACACTGTGCTATGTTAACTGGCAAATTTTTAGTTGTGCAACACTTTACCCAAATGAAATGTATGTAATTTTTTTCACACAAATAGAATTTTCTTTTGGTTTTATTTGATCACCACTGGGTATTTTATTTTTTATTATATAAATTTATAAAAGACCCAAAATTGTGAAAACAAACCCAATATTTTCTACTTTCTATTATAAAGCATATCCAATAAAATCACATTTCATAAATTTAGGTCAAACTGTATTCTGCTGCATGTCTTTGGTGAAAAAAAAATCCAGATAAGTGTATATTGGTTTGTGTGAAAGTTGTTGTAGTTTCTACAAGCTATGGTATATATACTGGCATTGACGCAGCTATAGATGCTATACTAGTAATGGCGGTGATAAGCCACTTATAGTGTGGCGGACAATCTGGCACTAACACACTGGCTGGGAAGGACATTAACTGACACTGATGTCTCTAGTGACACTAATAGTGATAATACTGTACACTGTGCTAATGACACTGGCTGGGAAGGGGTTAACATCCAGGGACAATCAAGGGGTTACCGTGTGTGCCTAACAAGTGTAATGTGTGCTGCTTTCATGCACAGATCTGGCTCCATGAACAGAATTGATTAAAGGGAGAAGAAACAGTCAGATTTTGTGTTCTGTGCTGTGATTATTCACATACGATCGGCAGGTATAGAGCCAAAATCATCGGCTGAAACCTTCTGACAAACTTATGTTGTGTCCAATCAGGGTGGAAGATTGCAGGACTGAGGAGTCAGGAGAATATTACTCTGTGATTCAGTTCTCTAGAACAGGGATCTTATGAAAGATCCAGTTTACTGTCCTTCAAACGTTTTAGGGGGGCCAGACTGAGGCCGGTGGAAGTAGAAAATATCCCAGTGTCAGAGGGAATAAACAATTCCTCAGGCATGGTGGTCAGTAGGAGTAAAAAAAAAATTTTACAAAATGCATGTGGTTAGCAGGAGGAGGGATAATACCCCATCATTGGTATTGGTGGGAGGAATAGTGACCAATCATTTATGTCAGTGGAAATAGTGCCCCCTCGTTAGTATCAGTGAAAGGAATAATGCTCCACCAGTGGTGTCAGTGGAAGTAATAATGCCTCAACTTTGTTGACAGCAGGCGGAATTATGCCTCGTATCAGTGGGAGGAACAGTGGCCCCAAGGGCCAGGTAAAGGCAAGCAAAACGCACATCTGGCCCGCAGGCTGCAGTTTGGAGACCACTGCTCTAGAACAAATGAGTATATGATCCTTAATCTGTAGAACTACAGTCAGGTCCATAAATATTGGGACATCAACACAATTCTAACATTTTTTGCTCTATACACCACCACAATGGATTTGAAATTAAACGAACAAGATGTGCTTTAACTGCAGACTGTCAGCTTTAATTTGAGGATATTTACATCCAAATCAGGTGAACAGTGTAGGAATTACAACAGTTTGCATATGTGCCTCCCACTTATTAAGGGACCAAAAGTAATGGGACAATTGGCTTCTCAGCTGTTCCATGGCCAGGTGTGTGTTATTCCCTCATTATCCCAATTACAATGAGCAGATAAAAGGTCCAGAGTTCATTTCAAGTGTGCTATTTGCATTTGGAATCTGTTGCTGTCAACTCTCAAGATGAGATCCAAAGAGCTGTCACTATCAGTGAAGCAAGCCATCATTAGGCTGAAAAAACAAAACAAACCCATCAGAGAGATAGTAAAAACATTAGGCGTGGCCAAAACAACTGTTTGGAACATTCTTAAAAAGAAGGAACGCACCGGTGAGCTCAGCAACACCAAAAGACCCGGAAGACCACGGAAACAACTGTGGTGGATGACTGAAGAATTCTTTCCCTGGTGAAGAAAACAACCTTCACAACAGTTGGCCAGATCAAGAACACTCTCCAGGAGGTAGGTGTATGTGTGTCAAAGTCAACAATCAAGAGAAGACTTCACCAGAGTGAATACAGAGGGTTCACCACAACATGTAAACCATTGGTGAGCCTCAAAAACAGGAAGGCCAGATTAGAGTTTGCCAAACGACATCTAAAAAAGCCTTCACAGTTCTGGAACAACATCCTATGGACAGATGAGACCAAGATCAACTTGTACCAGAGTGATGGGAAGAGAAGAGTATGGAGAAGGAAAGGAACTGCTCATAATCCTAAGCATACCACCTCATCAGTGAAGCATGGTGGTGGTAGTGTCATGGCGTGGGCATGTATGGCTGCCAATAGAACTGGTTATCTTGTATTTATTGATGATGTGACTGCTGACAAAAGCAGCAGGATGAATTCTGAAGTGTTTTGGGCAATATTATCTGCTCATATTCAGCCAAATGCTTCACAACTCATTGGACGCCGCTTCACAGTGCAGATGGACAATGACCCAAAGCATACTGCAAAAGCAACTAAAGAGTTTTTTAAGGGAAAGAAGTGGAATGTTATGCAATGGCCAAGTCAATCACCTGACCTGAATCCGATTGAGCATGCATTTCACTTGCTGCAGACAAAACTGAAGGGAAAATGCCCCAAGAACAAGCAGGAACTGAAGACAGTTGCAGTAGAGGCCTGGCAGAGCATCACCAGGGATGAAACCCAGCGTCTGGTGATGTCTATGCGTTCCACACTTCAGGCTGTAATTGACTGCAAAGGATTTGCAACCAAGTATTAAAAAGTGAAAGTTTGATTTATGATTATTATTCTGTCCCATTACTTTTGGTCCCTTAACAAGTGGGAGGCTGTCAGCGACCGACTGGCGGTAGCCTCTAGCAGCCCACTGGCCGGAATTCCCCAGGGCGCGGAGTCTAAGCCTCAGTCTGCTGGTTCACCAGAGCCCCTGATGGTGGGGATGGACTTGAAGCAGCCTGAGACCAGGTCGCGACCCCTGAGGAACACCAGCTGTGGTAGAGGCGGGCGCCAATGGCGTAGAGCAGGTGAGAGCCAGACGTGAAGAGGTATGCGTGGTCAGACGGGCCGGGTCAGTACAGCGGAGCAGACAGTGCAGAGCAGCAGGCAGAAGAATAACGGGTCACAAGCCGGGTTCAGTAATGGGATATCAGGCAATCAGGAACAGGTAAAGAATAGTCAGGACGTAGCCAGGGGTCAGAGCAGGAGAAGGCAGCAGTATCGGAGCAGGAGAAGGCAGCAGTATCAGGGCAGGCTTGGGTCGGCAACAAGGTATCAGGAACACAGGATTAACCAGGAACACAGGAACAGGACAAGACCAGAAGGCGATTTGGAGATACACAGGGCAGGTTTAAATAGGCCGCCCTGTGCTCTCATTGGTGCGGCCGCGATCGCTAGTGCGCATGCGCGGCCGCCGCCGTGATCGCCTAGGATTCAGTGCTCACTGGATCGGATGAGTCGGCGCTCTGCGCATGCGCGCACCGCCGAGGCGCCGGGATCCCTGACAGAGGCACATATGCAAACTGTTGTAATTCCTACACCGTTCACCTGATTTGGATGTAAATACCCTCAAATTAAAGCTGACAGTCTGCAGTTAAAGCACATCTTGTTCTTTTCATTTCAAATCCATTGTGGTGGCGTATAGAGCCAAAAATGTTAGAATTGTGTCGATGTCCCAATATTTATGGACCTGACTGTAAATGAATTAGGATACAAAGTTTTATCTGAAGACATGTTACTTAATCTTTATGTAAGCCCTAAGCGTGTGTGTGTGTATGTTACTAATACTGAAGTCAGAAAAAAACAGAGTAAGATTAATTAAATGTGTTATTTTTAATAACAAAAAAAAAAAAGTACGGTAATGAAATTCTTGTCATTAGTAATTAAATTATTGTTCTGTGAAGCCACATAATTACATTAAATCCAGTCACATCCATATGTTTCTCTTATGAATTAAAACTAATAGTTTAGTAACTCTGGCAGAAGAGGGGAGAAAAGGGTAACGGTCACTTTTTAAAAATTTATAATTTTAATCAGAATTGAACAGATCAAAGGAGCCCGGCAGCCAGTACTGATGTTTGTTAGTTAATGGCATCTCCAGGCATGGAGAGGTGTGAATGGACATGAGACTGAAAGAGTATAGCTGGAGGCTGCAGACTGAGTGCAAAGGAAAATATTCTAATAGTATTGACAGGAGTAAATCCAGTAATGTCTGTTGAGGAGGATTGTGTGAACAAAGTGAAGCTTAGATATGTGAAGATTCATTTTTATTGCATGTTTTACCCTATATAATTTTTTTTTCACTTGTGCCAGGTTAAGCTCATTGGTGAAATAGGCAAAAGTCGTGGTATTCTGATCACATCTTACACTAATGTGCGCCTTTTGCAAGAGGACCTGCAGAAATATCATTGGCATTATATCATCCTGGATGAGGGCCACAAGATCCGCAATCCTAATGCAGCAGTCACTCTGGCTTGTAAACAGGTGATTAGCATAGAATGATACAGTATTATAGATGTGTGCATTTGTGTGGTTGCAAAAGTTTTTTTTTTTTTTTTCAATTCTAACACAAGTGTTTTTCTTTCTCAGTTTCGTACTCCACATCGTATAATCCTGTCTGGTTCCCCAATGCAAAACAATTTGCGGGAGTTATGGTCTCTGTTTGACTTTGTGTTCCCAGGAAAATTGGGTACTCTTCCAGTGTTCATGGAGCAGTTTTCTGTACCCATCACCATGGGAGGGTATGCCAATGCTTCTCCTGTACAGGTATGGACATCTTCTGGCTTCCTACAAATTATTACATTATCATCATGTTGCTTAATTTATACCTTTTTACCCTGTTAGCTGCTTAGAGTTGATATACCAGACTTCAGAGTTGTTGATTACTTTTGACTATAAACTGAACCAATTAGAACTCTTTCATATTTTGTTACCCTAAGTTGGGTAAGTTGAAGGATAACAATGTACTCTTTGGATGAAATTAGAAGTGCCTCATATCAGGCCAGGTAGGTTTAATCTAAATGCATTGAATATGCGCTGTGACCTTCTCCAATCCAGGACCTTAATGGGAACGTCCACGCTTCTCAGGCAACTTTAACCAATCTTTCAATACTACAGAGAGGCCAGCGCATGAAAGTCTTTGTATTTTAAAACAGTTTTTGCTTTTTAGCTTGGCAAAATATAACTTGCCAGTTCTCCCAGGTAGGAAGCAATTGTTAAGTTGTTGACAAACTACTTGAGCTCCTCAGTTCCCTCTTTGTTTCCATTGATGTTTTAGAGATCTGATATTTGTGCAGCATTATCAAAGAGTGGAGAATGGGGGATTCTGTGAGTGTAACAAAGCTGGAATAAATAGAATGTTCATCTTGGTTACTGTTAAAAGTGGGGTATATGGGTCCTAAGGGATGTAGGATTTAGGGCTCATGCACAAAACTGACGCAATATTACGCTACATTCACATCTACGTTTTTGCACAGCAGCGCGTAAATGCAAAAAAATCAGTGGGGGGTCCTAGTGATTAGCTGCAGGAGCAAGCCCCATTGAAAGCGGGGGGGGGGGGGGGAGGGGGCTAATTACAGCCACTCTATGCGGTGATTACTGGTGAGTGATCAGCCCTGTACGCAGACAGTCTGTGTCCAGTACCAATCACTTGCAGGTATTCGCGATATAGCGATTATGTGCGAGTGGCTGCAATTGGCTTTGAGACCTGACAACTTTCCATTGCATTCAATGAGACTTGCTCCTGCAGCGAATTGCTACAACCCATCGCTGGTTGTCTTGCATATGGGCTCTGTTGGGCCAAAATGTAGGTGTAACTGTGACCTTAATTATCACTTCTGCATTTCATTAACTAAGGATTTTGAGGTGATTTCCTGCACCTGCTGATCTAGCTTACTGTGAGTATGTGCTGCTTCCCACCAGCATCTTCCACAGTGGTATAACACTTTACAGATCTGAGACTCTCTTCTTTGCAGCTATTTGAGGAAGGGCCCTGCTGATCTCTAATCCCAAGCATGTCTTGCTATGGAGCCAGAGAAGCTACTAGAAAGCTGACACTGTTTAAAGTCAAGGGGCACAAAACCCGTGAATTTTTAATCTGTCAGTATGCTGGCAGCAGTTTGCCTTCTACGAGGACTTATGAATGAGGAGCACTCCGTCTCCAAAATAAGTATCTACTTTGCTGAGACTACTAACCTATTAAATGTCCTGGTAATATAGGAATCATGACCTACCATATATACTCGAGTATAAGCCGAGTTTTTCAGCACATTTTTTGTGCTGAAAAACGGCCCCCTCGGCTTATATTCGAGTCAACGTCTGCAGGGGGCTGCTGTCTCTTACCTGGCTCCGGTCCCACGACGATCCGGTCCTGGAAGCGCGGCTGCTCCTTCATTCGGTTCGTCCACTGGATGTTCGCGCGGCTGCTCGGCTCCGCCTTCTCACCGGTGATTGGCCGCCAGAACTGTAGCTCAGGAAAGGCACACAGGCGGCCAATCACCGGCGAGGAGGCGGAGCTGAGCGGCCCCGCGAAAATCGAGTGAAGGAGATGCAGGTAAGATGCTTAGGTGCTGCTGCAACCACATATGCTGGCTGCAGCAGCACCATACTGGAACAGGGGTCAGCAAGTGTCAGTGGGAGGAATAGTGCCCCATCATTGGTGTCACTGATACCAATGATGGGGCATTATTCCTCCCACTGACACCAACGATGGGGCACTTTCCCCCCCCCCCCACTGACACCAATGATGGGGCACTATTCCACCCCCCACTGACACCAATCATGGAGCACTATTCCACCCCCCACTGACACCAATCATGGGATACTATTCCTCCCCCCCACCACTGACACCAACGATGGGGCACTATTCCTCCACCCCCCCACTGACACCAATGATGGGATACTATTCCTCCCACTGGCACCAATGTTGGGACACTATTCCTCCCACTGACACCAATGTTGGGACACTATTCCTCCCACTGACACCAATGATGGGACACTATTCCTCCCACTGACACCAAAGATGGGACATTATTCCACTGACACCAATAATGGGGTGCTATTCCCCCCACTGATACTAATGATGGGGCACTATTCCTGCCACTGATACCAATGATGGGGCACTATTCCTCCCACTGACACCAATGATGGGGCGATATTCCTCCCACTGACACCAATGATGGGGCACTATTCCTCCCACTGATACCAATGATGGGGCACTATTCCTCCCACTGACACCAATGATGGGGCACTATTCCTCCCACTGACACCAATGATGGGGCACTATTCCTCCCACTGACACCAATGATGGGGCACGATTCTTCCCACTGGTGTTCCCACCCTCGGCTTATACTCGAGTCAATAGTTTTTCCCAGTTTTTTGTGGTAAAATTAGGTACCTCGGCTTATATTCGGGTCGGCTTATACTCGAGTATATACGGTATATTTCACCACTTGTTTATAGGTTAAATGTCCTTTCATCAAATTACAACTGTCTTTGGCAATGAAAGGACATATTACCAATGATCACCTTATAATGTCCTTTGGATGGCTTGATCCACTCTTATGGGGGTCGGAGGAACATCCGTTTGATTTTACCACTAACGTCATTAAGGAAAACGTGAGAAAACATGGAGTTTTTCTACAGTTAGGCATTCGTCATTCTGAGGTAAATGTCACCCATTTGTGCATTCTCTCCTCTGATCCACGGATTAACTAATACAACACAGTTTTGCTTTTTGTCTTCCACAAGCTGTTGATAAAGGGTTTCATCTCCAGGGCCTATTAAACATTTATTACTTAAAGTAAATCCATGCATTGAACCAGTCCTAACAGAAAAAAACAAATGGTCTGACATCTGTTGGTAGAATTTAAATTTGAATAGAGAAGAAAGGGAGATTAAACACTGAATGCAAAAACTGTTATAATTAACAGCACTGAGATACACCATTTACTTTATTACACTTGTGTTTACAGTGTATTTTAACCTAAGAGGTTTTAAAACTACTGTATTTGACTTTTACAAAAAGCAACAACGTGCCCTGTTTTACTGTCAACTTCTGAGAATGTTCAGTCTATACTGAAAAGCAGCTTGTTGTTGCATCTTATGCCTTCTGCTTTGGCTCTTTTGCCTGCTGATTGACCTAAGGAGTTTGGTTAGTTACATAAACTTTAGTATCGTTCATGGTTTTGCCCAGATTGCAGCTACAAAAGAAGTACCCTGTCCAGGAACCTGCAGTGAAATCAGATGCTGTTTGCCTACATGCAATAATTTCCTCAGATCTTTGTTTTAATTATTTTTGCTGCACTACAGGCTGTGACCTCAACTTTGAAAAGACAAGTAAAATACTAAGCTATTCTTTATTTCCACACTTTTCAAATGATTGACCTATGCCTATTACTTTTGCTTTTTAAGAAAACCCATGGTTCAGCTTTAGTTAATGCGTTACAGTGCTAAGTATTTCCCTGGTTGTTAAAATGAGTGGGGGAAAATTTCTTCACAACTGTTCAGGGGTAGATACTGTTGTGCAAGATGTTTTCAAGTTATTTGGAAGCCCAAATTCTGGATCTAAAGATCAGATGGCGACACTGCGGAGCATCAACAACTTGGATGGGATCTTACCAATCAGTTGCTAGCTTGAGCCAGTATAGAGGAGGGTAGTGATATGGAGGTGCAGGCAACAGAGGTGGGTAGCTGGGTTACAGGTAAGGGTGAGGGGAAAGCTTTACAGTGCTGTTCCTGAGTTGCACTCAAATCAACATGTCAGGTGTCATGATATTGGGGTATTAGTTTAGGAGTGACATTTCTGGGGCCAAATACATCCCCTAGCTGCCAGGGCAGAGGCTACTCCAGTAGATCAGAGGTAGGGGTACAAGCAAGCATACATAGATACTGGGGTAGGGGACTCCATAATTTTGAAGGACAGATAAGGTAAACTGTCTCAAAGACAGTGATCGCAGAACAGTATGTGATTCAGTTGGACGGATTGTTCGCTGGAACCAGGGAAGACCCAGATATCATGGTACACATTGATACAATAGACAAAATTAGAGGAAGATGGAGCATGCTTAAAAATGACTTAAACGACTTAGGTTCTGCGATATAAAAAAAAAAGGATCTCCATGGTAGTATACTCAGCCAGAGGGACAACAGGAGCATCAGTAACTAAATAAGTGGCCCAGAAACTGGTGTAAGGGAGGATTTTGGGTTCAAAACCAAGAACTGGATCAATTTTTGGCCATGCGCAGCATGTGAGCTGTCGCATCTCACAGAGCTTCCACTTCTGATCCTGCTTTGACCTTCTTCCCAGCCACATCAATCGACTAATGTGCCTCAAAATCTCCATACTACTTTGGGTTAGCCCGTTGATCCACCTGGTTGGTTTCAGACCAAAATCACACTTATGATGACCAGCAAAAGTAAAGCGGAAGGAGTGGCGCTAGAGTCCCAAAATGGCGCTCCTGCAGCTTTACCTCAGAGAACACCACTAGATGCAGAAAAACTAAGGAACATGGTGAGTAAACAGGACAAGGCACCCCATTCTGCTGAGAAAGAACATACCAGGGATATGCTGTATTATACCCAGAAACTACAGGCACCCAAGGACAATCTCAAACAGAAGACTCTGAGGCATCACAGAACTTTCCTGAAAATGAGTATGGGGTGACAACCATTACACACAGGTGCTTCTTCTATTACAACTCAGAAGGACCCACCATTAGAGCAGGCAGAGGACACCACTGAGGATGGAGAACAGCTAACTTTGGGGGAGACCC